AAAAGTACTACAAAGAATCAAAAAAAATCAATGAGCTGATTCTTTGAAAGAATAAACAAAGTAGACAAACTCCTAGCCACTCTTGCCAAAAAAGGAAAGAAAAGACCTAAATAAATGCAAATAGAAATGAAAAAAATAAAAATCACTCTGAAATCTCAATCATGATCATTCATTACTACCTTTAAAATTGTACCTTAATAAATTGGAGAATTCAGAAGAAATGGACAGATTCCTAGATACATACAAATTACCAAAAGCCAACCAAGAAGACATAAAAAATTGAAGCAGGAAAACAGAAAAACCCTACCAACTATGAAAGGTCCAAGTCCCAATGAATTCACCACCAAATTCTACAAGAACTTTAGGAAATATCTAATGTCAATACTCTCCAAACTTCTCAAGGAAATAGAAAAAAAGGAGTACTTCTGAAGTTATCCCTGGAAGTTAGCATTACCCTGATTCCAAAACCAGGTAAGGATTCAACCAAAAGAGAGACCTACAGGCAAATCTCTTTAAGGAACACAGAAGCAAAATTCTTCAACAATATACTGGCCGACAGAAAACAACAAATCATCAAAAAGATCACACATCTTAACCAAGTACGATTCATCCCAAGCATACAGGGGTGATTCAACATATGCAAATCAAAATGTAATATATCACATAAACAGAAGCAAGAACAAAAATAACATGATCATCTCAATAGATGAAGAAAAAGCCTTTGACAAAACCAACACCCATTCATGATAAAAACTTTGAAAAAAAATAGTTATATAATGACCTTAGGTCAATCTCATAAAAGTCACTTATGACAAATCTACTGCCAACATCATATTAAGTGGGATAAAAACTGAATGCATTCCCTATAAAATCAGGAACAAGACAAGGATTTCCAATCTTACCACTCTTGTTCTCAACATACTCAACATACTTAAAAACTGAATTAGCTTAATGAGGCAAGAAAAATATAAAAAGGATACATATAAGAAAGTAGTAAGTCAAAGAATCCTTATTCACAGATAACATGATCTTTTACAAAGAACATTCAAAAAATTCCACCAAAAGATTCCTAGAACTAATAAACAAATTCAGTAAGGTAGCAGAATATAAACGCAACTCACAAAAATCAGCAGCATTCCTGTAAATAAATAATAAAACCACAATGAATGAAATTAAGAAAATAATACCACAGATTATGCCTCAAGAAAATTAAGTACTTAGGAATAAACCTAACAAATGAAGTTAAAGACCTCTACAATAAAAACTAAAGTATTCTGAAAAAGGAGATTGAAGAGGGTACCAGAAAAAATGAAAACATATACCCCATTTCTGGAGACAGAACCAATATTTTCAAAACGGCCATACTTTCAAAACTGATATTCAGGTTTAATTCAGTCCCAATCAAAATACTGTACCTACAGTATTCCTCACAGAACTAGAGAAAAAATCCTAAAATTCATACAGAATCAGAAGAGACCCAGAATAGCAAAAGCAATCCTGGGTAACAACAGCAAAGCAGGATACTTGATTTCAAATTATACTACAAAGATATAGTATAAAAACAGCATGGTATTTACAAAACATACACACACACACACACATACACACACTCTCTCACACGTGGATCTGTGGAGCGGCATAGAGGATGCAGAAACAACTCCAGTCACATTCAGCTATCTGATCTGTGATAAAAGGGCCACAAACATATGCAGGAGAAAGACAGCCTCTTTAACAGATGGTGCTGGGAAAACTGGCTTGTCATATGCAGAAAATGGAATCTAGATCCATAGCTCTCACCATTACTAAACTAACATCTAAATGGATCAAAGACTTAAATGTTAAAACAGAAACAACCTGTGGAAAGATAAAATAGGTAAAAGCCTTGATGACATAGTCACAGACAAGGACTTTCTAAATATAACTCCAATTATATAAGAAATAATACCAAGAATCAACAAATGAGATCATATCAAAGTAAGGTTTCTGCACAGCAAAGGAAACAACCAACAGAGTAAAGAAACAACCTACAGAATGAGAAATGATTTTGCCAACTCTTCTTTAGACAGAAGCCTAATACCTAGAATATGTAAAGAACTTAAAAAAAATTAGTATCCCCCCCAATGAAAGAACCAGCCAAAAAATGGGCCGCTGAAATGAACAGAAATTTCTCAGAAGTACAAATGATAAATACATGAAATGTTCACCACCTCTGACTACTTGATAAATACAAATTAAATCAATACTGAGACTCCAGTAAGAATGGCTATCATCAAGAAATAAAATAATAACAAATGGTGGCAAGCCTGTGGGAATTGGAGGGAATGTAAACTAGTACCACCACTATGGAACTCACGGAGAATCCCCAAAAAACTAAAAATAGAAATTCCACTCACACCAGTCATTCCCTTTTTAGGTATTTCCCTGAAAGAGTTAAAGATATATTATAGCGATACATGCCTACTCATGTTATAGCAGCACAATTCAAAATAGCTAAATCATGGAATAGGCCTATATGTTCATCAGCAGATGAATGGATATGTTTTTTATATAGTGGATGTACCTTGAATCCTTAAGTGAACTAAGTCAGACACATAAGCTTAACTATTAAATGGTTTTTCTTATACAAGAAACCCAAAATATAAATAAAGAGCAAAATAAAGGGTAGATAATAGGAACTTGGGAGTAGATCTTTTGCAAACAGAAAAGGGACCAAGAGATGGAGGGAGGAGAGGAAGAGGAGGGAAAGGGGATGAAAAAGATTTAAAATGTGTTAGGTTCATGTACCAATTGCTAGGAAGAATGTGATCGTTATGCACTATAAACATATACTAATAAAAATTTTAAAATTATGAAAAATATATAAAAGAATTGGAAAGTATATGGCAAAAAATAAAAAGGGTTGAGGAGGGAGGTAGGGCAATGCTAAGACCTTCATTTTAATCCCCAGTACAGCCCTCCCTTCTCAAAATAAATCTCCCGTTTGACTGTCTGCTTAAATATGTGGCTCTGTGTGTGTGTGTGTGTGTGTGTGTGTGTGTGTTTGTGTGTTGGTTTTTGGTTTTTTTGGAGACAGTTTCACTATGTAGCCAGGCTGGCCTTGAACTCACAAAGACACTCTTTCTTCAGCAAGAGCCATTATGCCCAGCTAAGATGCTGTATATAGAGGCACTCCAACCTCACTCTCAGAAGTGAATCATTCCTGCTTTATGACACAATTCAATTCACAACGGGCCTCATGTAAGAATCTAGACATGGAAGGTAAGAGGCTTAAGCCTGTTTCTTAAATTGGGATTGTTTGCAAACAAGGTCAAAGGACTGATGAATAGCAGGATTTTATTTCAAAAATTGGCGCTTTTCACACACCCAGTAGGTCAGCGGGTTTGAAACCTCATCCAAGGTAACCCTGGGCACCGGAACTTACGCACACATTTTAGTTGCAGTTTTGCAATCACGACGGGGCGGTCTCGCGCGGCCTCCATCCCCAGGCGGTGCGCCTACCACACAGCGGAACGCGTGGGAAAAATCAGCCGGGGCAAGGGCGTCCTCGGAACCAACGCGCCAGCGCCAGCCTGCTCTGGGACG